TGAAACACTGCTATTTATTTTTTTCCTTTGCTATCGCAAAGTACAAAGATCTTTTCCTTGCGTTATTGAAGAGTCATCTTGGAATAATCCAATTAATGAAAAATTGAGCGATAATTGAGTGACGGAACTGTAGTCCCTCTAATAACTGAATAATATGAAAACGACTTTTACCCAATGGAATAATGAGATTTCAAGGTGGATTTGGATAATAAGGTGCGATATGCCTTCGAGTATAATGAATAGAATAAAGAGAACCTGTTCAAGGCGGATGGTCCTCGCGTCTTGTATTGCGAATACTCCAGACAAAAGTAAGCAATATCTTTGCGCTTTATTAACTAAAGATTCGAGAACACACTTTACGAGCAAACAATTCAGAACGCCAAACATGCCGTCGCCAAAACAGTTAATTTTCTCACATTTCCCTATTTACCCAATCTGATATATTCTATATTTGTTGATGAGCGGATTTTCGGGAAACCTCGACATGTGTTTTCGCGCGCGCCTTTTGCGCTATCTCCGATCTCATTAAATTAACATCTCTTCCTCTACAATAATTTAGGACGTTCTAAATATAATCTAAGATCGATGCGTCACGGCGAAAACATACCTTGTGTGTCCTTACGGGCATGTCATACGAGATCGCATCTATACAACACGATGCGCATTCTAAAAATGACCGTCAAAATCACCAATCTTATCAATGAATCTACAGGATGCTTTGTTCTCAATTGTATGCCTGACGCATTTGAACGATTCTTTTTTTCTTGTGGTTCTGTTGTTTTGAAAAGAGTCCTTGACAAATGGGATAATTCAATCTTTTGTTCTGGACTTCCTCTGGTTTATTTTATTTATGAAAGCGAGTGTAGGAGGGGGTCAGTGTTCAAAAGAGTTATAAGCAAGTGTTTTATCGCTATTGCCGACACAAAACCAGGAAGTTACAGCAGCTGAACAAAAGCACGACCTCTTTGACGTGGAACGGCCCGAAGATGAAAGCAAACACAGTCGCCACAATTCTTCTTGTTAGCTTTCTAGTTGCATGCCTTGTGGTTGACGAAAGTAATGGGGTAGTAGGAATTTTGTCAAGTGCTAGGAATTCCGCGAAGCATAGGGAAACGTCGAAATCAGCGCAGAGTCAAGAGGAGCGGCCTAGTTCTCAAAGAAAAGCCGGAATGACGACATCATCGTTTGAACGTAAGAGACCAGATCGCTTTCCAGAAGGCCCCATATTTGACAAGAGATCGCGAAATAGGTTTTACAACTACTAGAAACGGTAGGTGCTTCATGTGTTATCTAATTTCGTGCTAAAGTCAAAACATGAAGTCACGTCATTAAGTATCTAATGTTCTCTCATTTGTTTTAACGTTATTTCCGAGAGCCAATTCAGTACCCCATAGTTCACTGATCAAGTGATTTATTCTTGACACTGGTCTTCTTAAGAATGGATAATATCATGTGATACTGATGGTTTTAGCTTTATTAATGGCTATTTTGCTTAAATTTGTGAGCCGAAATGTAGAAATGTGGAAGAGTGGTGTTTGAGTCAAACGGCTAATACGCTTTGGTTTGCTATCGCTGGCAGCTTTCGAGAATGACATTTATATTGAATAAACTTTAAAATTACAATAAAACTAAAGATATTAACCAGGTGCCCAAAACGATTACCCCGTATGCGAAACGGGTGAAAAATAAATTATGGTATCAATTAGGGAATTCCATCGAAACAGTCCGTTCTTTGGCCTAATCAAACAAAAATGGCATCGGAAACAAACAAAAACAGGCTCCGTCCTGTGTTCAGACGCGCTTCATACTCAAGCAGATTGATAGTTTTTCAGCCGGTCCGTTGAATTGAAAATTATGTGTTCCTTTCACGTTTCAGTCGTGCTGTGATGTTTTCATTTGACGACTCCAGACTGTATTATTTTTGGGGATGTTTTGGCTATCCCTATAGCCAGCCCGTCTTGTGCCCTTCAAGCAAATTAATTATAATAAAGAAAGTCAGTTTCCCCATTAGCGATATTGATCGACTTTACATTTGCCTTTTTTCTGAACCATTCAGCAGGCTCCGAAATCGACTAATGTTTCAACATAGATTTATCTGAGGCTAAACCGTTCGATTTAATTCAGAGTTTTCACCATTATTCTGAGGATTTCCAAGCATTTGCTGGTACAAAATCTGAAACTTCGTATGTGTACCTATCAAATCAGTCTTGTATCTGAATACATTTTAAAGCATATTTTGCATTACCAATTCTGTAGTTCGGTGACAGTGGTATTTTACCAGTGGCGTTGTTGAAAAACCCTCGACTCAAAGATAAAGATAGTTTTGTTGGAAACCATACTGGAACAAGAGCTTGCTGTAGCCGTCTTTCTATATTGTTTTTATAAAATAAAAACTCCCAGCCTTGAGGCCATTACGGGAGTGCAGTTAAAAACCATAAAGCTATTGTATTTTGCCATAAACTGAATCAAACTGGAAATAAAACTTCCTTTGCCATTAATAATCTAACAATAGAATTTAAGTATTTTTCAATGTGAATTTCAATAACTTCTGAACACAAAGTGTATCAACGCTACACAAGGAGGAAATGGCGCACTTTGTGGGCCAGACAAAGTTCAACTTTCTTCAAGACGTCATCCCTATGATGCCAGTTTTGGGCATAAAAGTCATTATAATAGATCCTTAATTTTTCACAATATTAATAAGATAAGCTGCCTATTAGAGTATTAACGTAATTAAGAAACTTATGCCTATAACATTGTGGGTCAAAGGTAACTTATCGTCTAATATTTTTCGTGTTTTTCCGACTTTCTATTTTGAGAGATTCATACTTCAAAACCATAATTGATTTAAAATTATATTTTCTCCAGTTGCAAAGTGGTTCCTGTTCTATTAATATCTATTGGCATATTATTTTAAAGAGAGCATCTGTGTCCGCTAATTAAAATTAAGAAAAACAACATGCACGCTGAAAGTGAATTTACCATCGAAAAATAAGAACAGAGGGCTTGTACCTGAAGAAGCAATTTAGTTGCTGTTACCTTTAATTTCTTAATTTTCTTTAATTTCTTCTTTCTTTAATTCCTTTAATTTCTTTAATTTTCTACAAACCATCCAATTTTAATTTTTATTCGTCAGATATTTTCTTGCACGCATTAAAATAAAATTACAGTGGAAATTCGCCTAACAACCAGCTCATTGTTGCGGCCACTTATTTTCGCGAAGAAAACGCTTTATTAATACCACCAAACCTTTAATGCGAACACGATGTTTGTTCGTTGTTGTCGCATTACTTAGATCTAATGTGAGCTAAATACTATGCATCAACAAGTGACAAACGTAAAAAGCATAGCGTTTAGGTATTAAACTGAGTTTGTAACAAAAATTGGAGAAAATCTGCTATAGCGCTGCATTCAAAAACATTAAGTGCACTTAAACAACTTAGTGTATGTCTCATATTCTGGATTTCTTTCTATATCCAGCATATTCCTCCCATACTTTCCATAGTCTTTAATGTCAAATTTCCGACTGAATTATTTATGTATTCTGATTATGTTGTTAAAATATTCATGAATCATAATCTCCTCAAACATGTTCAGTTATGGAATCTGGGATTGAGGGGAGGAGTGTGTTGGTGTGGGGGGTGGGGGTGGGGGGGATGGCGCTATATTATGAACCAGGTATGTATGAGTACGTAATAAGGGGGTCGTCTTTCCCGCCTCTGTTAGGTTCCTGAGGGGATCATAGTGGGAAGCAAGCTAAGGGCTATGGGAAGGAGGAATAGGCATCGTCCTCGAGGACCTTGTAATTCCATGTTCCCAATCTTTCCCGACGCGCGATTGTAGGCGAACACGGCAAAATTATCTGCTAAGCAGGGAGGATCGTGCGAAATGTTCCTTCAAGAAACACTCCTTATGTAGTGTGGCATCCACTGAGTCAAAGTCATTGCCTAACTCCGCCTCTACGCGGCGTGTGCGACAAGAATGGGGTAACAGTGGTCGATGGGTGGTCATAATACAATTCAAGCTGGAGAATATCAGTCGGCTTAGGACGCATCAGTCTTGATTCAAATCGCAGCTCTAGCTGTATCTGCTCTGTATCTAGGCTCGTTTATGAAGAACTTTAAATATATGCATTACATATCTTTTTTTTTATACCAACAGATAAGAAATCGACATTGTTCAACATGGACTCCAGCCATCGGAAGTCGATCACTGCTAGAGAGATATACCAGTATGAAATAGGGAATCAATAACAGATTTATTTTCTTCAAATGGAAAAGGACGGCCAATCATTGAAAAGGCATCAAATAATGTTAATAATCCTGTTAATTTTTTTCGAAGTGCATTAAAACTGCATTATAGAAATTTAAAACGTGTCTTGAAAATTGCATTCAGGGTAAAAATGATTAGTGATATATATAAAGAAGAGAATGGTAACCTTTTCATTGACACTCATCATTTTCCACAGAGAACTTTATAGTGCACTCCCCGTGCTTCCCTCATTTATCCAGATCTCAGTAAACGAACTTTACACTCCTACAAAACCTGGACAGACACCAAGCAGTGTTTTAACTTTATGATAAACAGAAAGCTCCCAGCGGCAATCTGGGTAAAAATACGTTCGACTATGTAACAAAACGATAAAACTTCAAACAAACACAAGCCAGTCAAAGATCTTCGACCAGTTTAAATGCTATTTTAGAGTACCTTTCACAAATTCCATATACCATCCCTAAGATATTGCTCCCGGCCCTCTAGCAACGTTAAATATCGTATCTCCAAGAATGGCTTCTTGCCTGTGCAAGCTTGGTTAAGAGAACGAGGTAGGGTGGCACAAAATTATAGGCACATTTTAAGTCACTTTACTCACAAAAACACCAATAAGCTCTGAAAATTTAGCTTCCTGGTTCATCAGGCCACAAAGACTTAGCAAGAATGGAATTACATTTTCTCAAGTCAGTTGAATTGAAAACAAAGTTAAGCCCACTCCAAAGCAATGCTACAATAAACCAACGTTTAATATAAATTGCATTCCAAGTGAATAACCGTAACATTCATATCCGCGTGACACTCGGACGTGTGACGCGCTACGTATACCTCTATATAAAACTGCCACCGGCCAACGTACCTTCAAGTATGGAGCAACTAATATCTGGAACAGCTTAGATAAAGTCACTAAGGAAATTAAATCCCTAAAGACATTTGAAGCTGCTGTGAAAAAACGACTCCATAGCCTTAACTGACGTATTGTTTTTTACATCATGACATCTAGGTGGCGTTTGTACTAGAGAGCATCATTTTTGTCTTTTTATCATTAATTATTATTGTGAATAGTTTCTGAAAAACCTTTGAGAGGATGAATCCATTAAAGTTTCAAGTTTAAAGTGTAAATATATCATTGTTTCGTTCCCATTTTATGCCACACTTGGGATTAGAATATCTGTGGGTTTTATTAGTGTTTTGTAAGAAATTGCTTTACCATTCAGAGTTTTAAAGCAGCTCGGTCACGGCATTTTAACCATTTTGGCTACGTACAAAATTACCTTTAAATTGAAGGAAACCTAAAACTAAGAGTTGACTAAAATAGAAAAACCGCAATGAGATAATAATAAACCATAAAAGAACAAAGACGTATAAGAATGGAGAAAATAAACTCGGATTGAAATCGACGAACTTAAAAAATTTAGGCTAAACTTTTCAAACTGCGCAAAGCGTAATGTGGCTCCTTTAAGAACTGCAAATCTAAAGAGGCAGGCGTATTTTCTTATGCAAAATGACTGTTACTTAAATGTGTATTAAATTTTACTGTCTGCCACAATTTGTGGCCTATTCAATCCCCGCCTTGGCTAGATACCAATGCTATCAGGAATTCGCTCGGGCAACAGATTGATGTAAGGCAAATCCAATGATGCATTTCGAGCCTTGATAGAATCTGAGATCTTCTGGAGAGCGCGCTGGAAACGAGTGATTGCGTCATCCTCTGCATCACCGGTCAACAGGCTGTGTGTGATGTCACCAAGGAAACGCTAAGATAGAAACGAAAAGATATGATGATGTTTACATACTGTGGAATTACATTAAATTCAAAAGAAGCAACTGAATATTTATAAGTTGCAGTGTTTCCCTGGATTTCTGCTAAATCAACGGTCGCGTCTTTTGCTGCCGATAATCACCTATGCGGACCTCTCAGGAAACAGAAGGTTTAAAGTTTACATTTGTTGGTCATGATCGGTAGATTGGCTGATCTGATTAATTGGGAGAATTTTAACTTCCATCTCTCATTTCTATAGACAGCGACTGTGATTTATCGCATTGTCAAATCAATACTAGGTATCTTTTTGGAAGGTTAAGACAATTTGGACCCGCAAGTTGCTTTAGAAATCTTTCGATATATTTTACGGTTTTTTTCTTACCTCATCTTCTGCAAATCGTGTTAACACACACACAAGAGCTATTTGTTCAACGGCCTGAGACTTGTTCGGGAGTGTCTTCATAATAGACTTCAGAGTTGCCTCATTTTTCTTGGTGGGAGGCGGTTGACGCATCAGAGAAGGAGTAAATGGAACAAAGCCTGTTACATCCATCAGACCAAAGTTTACTCCCGCGTGCTGACACGAACACGTGAACACCACACACGTCAGCACGTGTATCAGTTGGTCACGTGATTGTAGGCTCTTTGGGAACTCGTGGTTGACGTCACCCTCCCTCACAGGAAGGCCGTTGTCGTGAATATCTTTAATCCAGCCTTGAAGTTCGTTGTCCTTGGCAACATCATCATCTGACTTGTAGTAGATGGCGACTACATCTTTGATGAAAGTTTCAATGGCTGCCCAGAGACGGAGAGCATCATCCCTGACAAGAAACAATATTGTGGTGAGATGTGTGGTCTGGCTTGCAACTGGCACACTGTATGTAGCGGTTCAGATGCGTTTTCTCTGAGCCCACAGTGTTGTCGAAGGAAAGAGTGTTGGACAGGTGCATATAGACCCATAATGCATTATTATTATCATTATCTTTATCATTATCGTTATCGTTATCGTTATCGTTATTGTTATTGTTTTTATTATTATTATTTTGTTTTTGTTTTTTGTTTTTTTGTTTTTATTTCTTTATTTTATTGTTTTCCATAATTCATTATGTAATAAAGTATCTTTATACAATATTCTAGATTAAGGGGGTCAAGATATGTTTTAAGGCAGCATGTCAGAAGTGTTCATTATTAGTCGTCTCTGGATGCCAACCTTTTCGAGGTTTTGATCCGTAAATTACTTCTTTTGTGGAACACTTGTATAGTTACAAAAACTTGGAATCGGCTACAGTTTCTGGAACCGTCAATCAATCATAGCATGTAAATCACCTGTAATAAAACTTGGGTAATTTCTCAGGATCGTCGACACCTCTCTCTTTCAGCATGTCAGGTAACGACAACATGCCAAACTTGAAAGTCTTGTAAGACTTGTTTAGATACCGCATGGCTCCTTCATTATCAGCTGTGTCGTTTCTAAGAAAGTTGTTGATTGCCATCACGGTGCGAAGGTGTGGGAATAATGTTTGAAACACGGGGTGAAGGGAGGGCAGCTGACGCCACGCAGCCACGGCAAATGCTTCCATTACCAAGTGGGTTCTAAGAAAATGGGTGCTTCCCTTTGGAAGAAGAAAGAATTCAAAGTGGAACTGAATATTCAAGTGTGCGATAATACTTATATAGGAAACGAGGTTTCGATTGTTTATATCGTTTTCATGAAATTCAAACATTACAAACAGGATGAGTTTGAAGACATCCTTTTATGTAGTTAAAAAAAAGTATTCAAGGTATTTACAAAGTCAGTGAAATAACTCAGACCGAGTCATTTATCTTGCAATGTTCAATCTGTCATAAGTTTTCCCACCATGTATAATTTGGCTAATCTCGAGGGTTTCTAAAAATGTTATTTACCGATTGTTTTCCCTTTCAACAAATAACTAGGGCAAAAGTTACATCATACCTGCTGTACTTGATGGTCAGCGTTACGTAACCACATCTTTGCCAGTAGCCAATCATATTTCGAATCTCCAGGAGTCCATATTGGGTTAGTGTCACTTGGTTGCTGGAGTAGCTGAATGGCAATAGGCACCAGATCACCCGAGGCCTTGACGTAAAATAGTCCCAGGGGCTGTGCCGTGTAAGTGGATTCGCCTGTGATGTTAAGGCCTCCAAGTTCCTTGTAATCTACGATGTACACGTGCCCTGCCTAATACAATAAAAAAGATCGGTATAAACATATTGAATGCCTTCATTTTTTCTGCCTCCTCCACAGCCTTTTCTTATTTTTTCTTAGGGTAAAGGGCGATTGGGTGAGTGGGAGCGAGTGAGCAAGAAAGCGCGAGCGTGAGCTGGTAGCGAGTGAGTAGCGGGAGGGCGGGGACCGAAGGTAAAGTGAAAAGAGAGAGCGTTTCCTCTCCTCTCATGATTCCCTGCGCCCCTCCTCACTAGTTAATTATTGTATTTTTTACTATATCACGCGGGTGCTTGGGATGAGGCAGTCATTTTTTTTCCATCAGCAAAAGAGAGGTACTACAGGTGAGTTCATGATGATGTTACTTAACATCATGGAGTTTTCGAGTTAGGGCAAAGGTGTCGTTTATTCTCAGTTACCTTAATCTCCTCCTCTAGCGTTTTCCCGCGATCCAGAAAGCTTTTGACCATGTCGTCAGTCACGGGGAAATTACTTGGCAACTTGTCGCAGCGCTGAATAGTATTCGGGTTGCAGCCATTCAAGAACATCGAAGCGAACACCTCATCGGTCATCCACCGGTCGTCTTGCACAATCTTCGGTACACCATCATACACCCTGTTAAGGATCTTTTGGAAGTCGTCAAAATCATCCCAGCTGTCAAAAAGAGTCGACAAATAAGCAAGCCCGATGTCCACAGTGGCCTTGTGCTTATCTTCCTTGATGGTACTTTTGGCTTCTTTGGAGAATTGTGAATCTCTTGGTATATCCGAGTGTTTCACGGCTTGAAGATAACCAGGAAGGTGCTTGAAGACTTCTTGGTCTCCCCATTTATAGCTCTCTTGGCGCTGCTTCAGTTCAAGGATTCGTTGGTTTTTAACGGCCTCTGGCTGGTCTTGGAAGGGAAGAATGGCTGCAAAAATAGAGTTGTAAGAAAAGTGTGTTTTCTTGGCAAAGGATTTGCGCAGATGTTACGCTTTTTCTATGTAATTATGAGTTCTTGTAAAGGTCAGAATAAAGGATAAACCTCTTAACTGTAGGGACGTAACCGACTGAGCAAAGAAGAAATGTTTTTATAGCAATGTATCGACCCTTATAATTGTGTGTGAGGTAACACTAGTTTATCATATCAACCTGGAAAGAATTAGCAACCTTAATTAAACGTGTTACGCTGAGATTCCAAGGGACATTTCGAAAATGATTACCTTTTCCTTCGAAGACAGATAAATCTGACAGCACCCAGCGATAGCATGGAAACTCGAAAGGGTCCTCCTGCGAAGAACTTAACACCGAGATCTTGTTGACGAACCAATCAGGATTCTTGTACCACCAGCCACCGCCATCGTTATGAAGTTGGATCATGAGAACTTTTCCAACATCCATGGCCTCAATAGAATACTCGTCCACTTCTCCTCTTTCAAAGTCATTACCCCAGTTATCTAACTTGATCAGATCTGTCTTTCCTTTGGTTCCTTTATTATGAGGTAAACAATTAATCAAAATGACAAAAGTCTGTACGGCTCAGTCTCCAGAGTCAATCCAAATGCTTCCTACATTAGGTCACGGAAGTTTGATGGACGTGGATTGAATTGGGTTTGCTTCAGTTCAAATCTTAGTTGATTTCAAGCTACAACTTTGATCCAGGCGTATTTAAGTTCTAACTGAACTTATCTAAGGAATCATGCATCAATGCGATTATAATTATTCTTCGCCGCAAATTTTCGGGAAGGGACCTGAAAGCAAAATTGGCACGCGTATACACCAATGATGAACTCTGCAACCTCGGTTAGTCCAATTCTCACTCATGCATGGCGTACGGTATTTTAACAAAGAAGTTCAAATTATGCACACAATGACAAACATGTTAAGCCTATGTGACAGGGAGTAACTGGTTAATTTTGATCGAATATTTTTCGTTAACAGGGTCACTGTTATTTATAGTTGCTTCAGACCACTCAATTTGGCTTTGGACGATTCGGGAACCACTTCTTTAAACAAGTATCTCTGGTCAATTAAGTAAGAATCATTTTACCTGTCAGGGAAATGGAAATAGAAGCATCAGTTCCTGCCCCGGACTGGCTTCCAGTTTCCACTCGGATGTGATAGGACGCTAAGTGCTCTGGGACGGGTTTGTTTGACCTGTTGGCGCGAAGCTTCTGTGACCAAACGTAGACTGCGTTACGAATGTGAACAACGCAATTAGGGTCGTCGCTTGACTGAGCCGGCAACAAACCAATCGTGGAGGGCAGATTAGTATGAATAAACTTCAAACGCTCTGTTGCCGTTGGTGCCAGTAATGACGTCATTTTGATGTCAGCTACATCTAACCACGGATGCGAGCTCTCGTCCCATTCCCTCCCGACTTGAAGTATCGTCGGCGGATCATTGTCCTTAGCTTCATGGAGTTGTAGCTGGAGTTTGTACTCCAGTGGTCCTCGCGTTATTCTCTCTCTGTACTCTCTCTTGAGGTAGTCCATAGGCAAGGTCTCATTGGGTGATCTTTCATTGACCCTAGTTTTTTAGAAAGACAGAAGAAGGAAGTCTTAACAGCTTATTATCGGCGCAACCTGGGATAAACACTATGAAAATACGACGAATTATTTCGGTTTTTTATTCGCAAGCATTATGTGCACTAATGACTTTAATACCCTAATAGCTAAGTCCGTGTTAGTTACAATCTGCATATTCCTTCTTGACCATTAGGTTCACCAACTTTGTTGTCACCGAACAAAATCTGACAAGCACGAAGCAGGGAGTGAAGGAGGCTTTCAGGACCGTGTGGTCTCCACATTACTGCTTCCAACTGTTTTAGCTTAGCTTTCTACTGATAAACGTTACTTTAAAGTACGATCAGCACTAGTACGCCAATCTCTCGCTTAGGGGATCCTGACAATCAACTACAGTCGAACCTCCCATAATCGACCACCCAAAATGTCAAGCCTGGTCGCTTGCGACAGTTTAGACCACATTGGGTCAAAATTTGGCTCCATTAGCACACGGTAACTGCAGAGACTTGCCCCGTTTTTTAATGTTTTATTCATGTGAAAAGTCTATTTCGAGAAAGAATCCGATAGTTCCCATTGAGAAATGTCCGTCTCTGGTACTACCCGGGAATGTGACAATTAATGTTATGTAAACACCTTATTATCCAATTTCAGCTCTATTATCTGTCAAGTGGTCGCTTACGGGAGGTTAAAATCAAAAGAAAATTTTAAAACTTTTAGCCCTAAAAGTGGTCGCGGCCGCTTACGAGGGATGGTCGCTTACAAGAGTTTCCAAATATAGTGATTTGACTCCGAGACGTTTGGTATTTTGAAAAACTGTTCGCTGAGGAGAGGTGGTCGCAACCAGAGGTTCGACCGTATTACTCACCGACGTTGAGGTGAGTAGTACTTCGCTCATCACCTCCGAATTTACCAATCAGAAGTGAAAGCGCTTTTCACTTATGCGGTCTATACTTATTGCTGTTATTTATCTTCAACAGATTCTCAGAGCCATGCACAATCCCTAACCATAGCTTGTAAGTACAACCGCGGTTTTTACTTACCAAGGTTGCCACTGGACTTCTTCAGACAATAAACCTGTTTCCGGAGATCCGTCAGCTGGCATCAACCGGAATCTGACGTAACGCTTTACTCCATCCAATGCCTTGAAGTCGAAGATCACTTCAGTGTAATACCGCTGGTCATAAAATGAGTCAGGTTTTTGACGCAGGCCGCCAATATTGGCTGCCAAGCTGCTCGTGAAAAATAAATAAATAAATAAATAAATGAATAAATAAATAAAAATAGAAACAATTATTTGATTACACGAACTGAAGAAGCGATTTATTTAAAAAATTTTCTCTGTAGAAAAACTAAGTGTTAAAAAACGAGGACTTTTAGCGTTAATTTTTGCAGCAGATAAAATTTTTTCGCTAGTTCACACTTTTGGTTTAAGAGTTACATATATTTTTCGAAAATAGTCGTTCTCTTAATTTGAACGCCACCAAACCTTTCTAAGGTGTTCTAACCAAAGCACGAAATGAACATGGGTTCACTATTTGACAAGTAACTTTTAATTCTGTCATTGTTTTTTTTATATAATTTCAGAATAATTTTGGTATGTCTTTTCCCATAATTTATATTAAGGAGATGAACTTACTGGCTTTAAAGGACGGTCTGTTGTTGTCGTTGTTGTTGTCGTTGTTGT